TTCTCCTTTCAGTAATGATATAAATACACCTTGGCTTGACCAATTCTTACAATTCAGGGTCACAGAGGAGACACAAACACAGACACAGACACTCACACCTGAGCCAGTTTTCCCAGAAACCAGTTAGTATGCCTTTAGACTGGGAGGAAGCCAGAGTACCCATCAAAATCCCACATGATTATTGGGAGAACATACAAACACCACAAAGATACAGTAGCACCCCAGGTCTGGGAGGCAGCAATGCTAACCACTGTGACACCATGCTGCCCTCTCCTTAAGTATATATTTTTTTTCTGTGATGATTTTAAAGTTTTGATGTTGCATTGAATTTCACATATAACTCAGTCTGTGGAAGTTGCTTTTCGCATTCCATCAGAAACACCCAAGAATGGCCACCAGAACAAGACTTTTTCCATAAGAATGTTGACAAATGAGAGGGAACTGTTTGGCCATCTTGCTTGGTTGCTAGGTGCTTATTAATCCAACCAATTTCTTAGGTTATTTTCTTTTTTAAACAAGGTAGTTTGTCTCTATTGATGGATCAAGATCTGCTACTAGTTTGGTCTCCTGTGGTGTCCCATACAGTAGATCATTGCTTACGTTTAGTATATATCTCCATTTGGTCAGATAAATTCCACTTTAAGTTAATGATACTCACATTTATTGGAAAACCAAATCTACTGTAGTAACATTGATAACATGGAACATTGCTCAGTTACATTCCGTTTTGCCAGTTTATGTGGCGATGCACTACTATAACGCACTAAAAGTCCAAGAACACCTTTCAGATACTCTAGTAAGCTGAAATTTGAACTTTGCTGTATGCTTTGCGTCAGTCAGCTTGTAGCTCAGAAGTCATGTTTCCTGACATCTGTTTATCTCATTTTTGAACAACAGATCAAGCTGTAAGAAAGGGCTCTTATACTTTCACTCTTTGACCTGTCTTATAAACTGGAGAAAATCAAAGTTCAGCTGGAGAAGACTTCTATCTTTGTTTCCCAGCAATGCCAGCTGAAGTTTGCTTTTGTTTTAACCTTCAATTTTAATTAGAATCAGTACAAAGGTACAGTGTCCTAAAGGATTATTGGCACCCTTGATAAAGATGAACAAAAAAGCATAGAAAATAAACAGCACAGATAATCAGCTATATGTTATACACAAAAAAGTTGAAACTACAGGCTTTAATTGTAATACACATGAAAACATTTCAAAACATTTTTAAATGGGTAATAGTATTTTATTTTCCTCAAAAACATCAGTGTCATAATTTTGGATTCCCTGTTTGTACTTGGTGCAGCCTCCTCTGCCATAGGTAACAGATATGGAGGGATCTTAGACCATTCCTCTATGAAGACATTTTCCAGATTCTTGACGTCCTTAGGTCTATGCTTTTGGACTGCCCTCTTCAATTCAGACCACGGGTTTTCAATCAGTTTTTCAACAATTTCTTTGTTAATTTTGTGCATAGGGTCATTGAAGGTCCACCTGTGAGCAAGTTGCAGCTTTCTGGCAGAGGCAACCCGGTGTTTGGCCAGAATATCGTGATAGTAGAGTTCATGATGTCATTAATCATAACAAGGAATCCAGGGCCAGTGGCATCAAAACAGTCAAAACATCAACGATCCACCACCATATTTCACAGTGGGTATGAGGTCTTTTTCTTTGTATGCAGCCCTGTGCGGACGCCAAACATATTGAAGGTATGAATAGCCAAAGAGTACAATTTAGGTGTCATCTGACCACATCGCCTGGTTCCAATCAAAGTCCCAATGGCATTTGGTAAACTTCAACTGCTTCAATTTGTTTGTTGTTGTCATTAAGGGCCTTTTCTGGCAACCCTGTAGCCTGTTGGAATGCACAGTATGTACTGTACCATCTAACCATTGATTTGGAGACTTGGTGACCCCAAGACACAACCAGACACTGCATTTCTCCATGACACTTGGATTCTTTTTTGCCTCCCTCATCATTTTCCTCACTGTGTGTGGGGACAAGGTATACTTGTTTCTACTTCCTGGTAGGATAACCACTCTTTTAGTGCTTTTGAACTTCTTCATTGTTGTCCTAATTGTGCTAACTGGTATGTTTAACTTTTTATGTATTTTTTGTATTTATTATCCGATTTGTGAAGATCAACGATCACAGCCAGCCATTCCCCATGGTCATGGATGGTAAAAGTTTTTTTATCATTTGTGTTACCTCTTTCTTAGAACCTGGTGAACCAGGAAGTATGTTTCTTAGGACTGGGTTGTATTTAAATAAGCAGAATTTTATTGCAGCTTTCTCTTTGTTTGATTTTCTTGTAAAAAACACAAAGGAGATCCAATAGTTGTGATGCCTGTGTTTTTGAGAAAAAAATAGTATAACTGATTTAAAAACATTTGTTTTTAAATAATTGTGTTAGATTAAAAGCCTGATGTTTTCAAGTTTCTGGGGAAATAGAATATACAGTAGCTCTTTATCTGTGCTGATTATTTTATCAAGCATTTCTGTTCATCTTTATCAAGGGTGCCAATAATTCTTGAGCTTGAGTAAAAAGGATTACAAGCAATACAAAGTAATTCAGTAAGACAATGTACTGTCTTTTGTGTGAACGAAATGAGGTTACTTTATACACTGCAAACTTTTTTTTTCTCCATTTTATCAAGGTAAAAAAATGTCACATATGTAGTTCAATATTTACCTTCTTATGAAGTAAAAAAATTCTAACAGATCATTCTTACTTTTATCCACATTTTGAAAAGTTTTCATTTATAGTTAGATTTTATTGTGACAAACTTGTCACTATACTCCATGCAGATACGTAGCACCCAAGGTTCAGAATTGAAGCCAGGGCCCCAGGACTGCTCCACTGTCCCACCCTGACTAAACACTCAATAAACACTTTTTGATATGTTTAATTCTTGGGTGGTGTTATTCCACATGAAGTAGGAATGCTGTTGTGTTTTCATTGAGTTATGGGAATTTCAAAGTACCTGAAAAGTTTGATCCCCCCACATATCAGACACTTCAAAAGTTCATCCCCTTAGCCAGACTCAGAGGAAGTCGTGAGTGAAAAGCACACAGTGCCCGTTGGGTATTTCGAAAAATATCATGAAGCATATCACCAAAGTTTTAATACCTTAGTAGCTTCCCAGTTTCCTTTGTGGAAGCCTGAGCAAGCTGTGTGAAATCCCTGCCGTGGCGGATTTGTGCAGATAAAAATCAATGTGGCAGCTTGAGGTTGTGAAAGCTCAAAGCAATGTTAATGTTTCCTCATTTAGACCAGGAGATTAGTTTGTCCCCCACTCAGCTTTCCCAGCTGGAAAACTAGGAGCAGCAGTGGTGAAAGAACTGACAAAAGTCCTGATGTTACACACTTTATTTAGTGTTCTTAGTTGAAAATAAATTTGATCTAATGAGCTTCCATTCTTAATGTGCACAAAAGTAGTGTTAGTGCTTCTTCAGAATTTTAGAGCTGGTCGATTGGGAATTGTGTGTATAAGTATAGAATAATATCGTACTAGAAATCAATATAATGAGAAGTCACAGTCAAGAGTTTGTAAGCCTTGGAGTCAATATTTATCCAGCTTTTTACAGAGAGACTGCTATTTTAAATTTTGAAGTGCAATTCCCAACAAAGCAGGCACACGTTTTCTCAATAATATACTGGACAGGGGCAGAGAGCGATGTGGGGCACTGTGGCTAAGGATCTGTGGCTGGAAAGTTGCAGGTTCAAATTCCGTGGCCGGCAGATGAACCCCACTCTGTTGGACCCCTGAGCAAGGCCCTTAACCCCAGCTGTTCCAGGGGCGCCGTATAAAGGATGACCCTGTGCTCTGTCTCCAAGCTTCTCTCTCCCTGCCTGTGTGTCTCATAGGGGGCAAGCTGGGGTATGCGAAAGACAAATTCCTAATGCAAGAAATTGTATATGGCCAATAAAGTTATCTTATCTGCTTAAAAATAAGTTCATGTGTAAATGGGATTAAAGAACAACATACTGTATATAACTCTTAAGATGATGGAGAGATTTGTCTATCAACTAATACAGAATAAGAGAATAGTGATTCATATGCAATTGAACAGAGGTGGGTGATACTGTAATGAATTTCCATTGTCTTTTTGTAATGTTTAATGAAATGTTTAAGATTAATCCATCTTTTAAAACAAAACCAAATAAGATGTAGTATAAAATTATTCTAAATAGTTTCTGACATGGGGGTGGTGGGTACCCACTGATTCATAAGACTGGTATGTTACAAACACAGTAATGTTATTTAAACAAACATTGCTTTTTTCTTCACAGAAATTAGGTTGAGTGGGGACAAGGAACAACACTGTATGCAGGATGTTCACAGGCTCATATGGATACTAGAAGCTTATTAAACCTTTTCTTAGAGGTACTCAGAGAAACGATTTGAACAGCTTGTGTAGCTCCAGACACCCACCACCCTATGTGTAAAACTGTGTCTTCATTTTCTTCCCAGCCCTGTCCTAGATTCACAAAGTCTGTTCACCCTTTAAATACAGAGCTGTTTTACAGCATGAGCAGAATTTGGCAGCTGCCTGAAGCACTGAGAACTCCCCTGCGTGAAAAATTCAAAGTAGGTTAACTAGGATTTGACTGTAGGACTGTACCACATTGTTTTTCACTGTGACTAGAAAAGGAAATAAGAGAAAAAGGAGCTTGTATGCCTTTAAATACCAGCTCTGTTTGTATCAGGTACTTACAGATAGTGTATCATAGCGAAGTGTCCTGCTGCCAGACTGTCTCCTTGCTGTGTGTGCTGGGTGGTTTGCATCTCCTGTTCACTCTCCTAGCTGGAGTCTGATCTGTCCCAGAGTGCCGCTCCCAGCACTGCAGTCTTTCCACAAGTCTGCTTGCCTCCACCCCTGACCTTCGCAGCAGACATGCAAGCCTGCATAACCAGGTACAGTACATTCCTCCTCTCTAGTTCAGGATCTCGTTTGGGTTTTAGTTTGCTTTGCTTTAAAAAATGTGTGTCACTTGAATTAAGCAGGGGTGTGGAAAGAGCAATAATAAGACTAGCCCAGTACATTCCTGCAGCATAATCAGGATGCAGGAAAGATATGTTCAGGATAGTGTTGTCTGCTCTGGTTGCCTGTATACAGTACTCCTATTTTAAGAGTTTATTCTTTTAGAAGTATGCACTGCTCTGTAGGGAATGATGATAACACATCAAGATTTATCTGTGTAAGTTTTATATGTTCTTTTAGAGCCTTACTCCACTTTAAATCTCACTTGAAATCTAGAACATGTAAGTTGCTTTCCGATGTTCAGTATATGCACAACTCTGCCACTCATACAAATGTATCCAACCTTTTCTTCAATTTCTAAATGCTCACAGATTTTTTTCCCTTTAACTTGTGAATGCAGTACATTTAGTGTGTCCCACTTAAGAGAGTCATTCATCACCCTGTCTTTTGTCTCCCTGAGGTTTTGCATCTACAATCTGACAAGTTAAAAAAGGGGAGGAAAGGAGGTATTACAATTAGTGGGGAAAAGATCTCTTAAAACCCAGACTAAGAGGTAGAATTGCATATCATAGTGATTGATACTATTCCTCTCCTCATTTTCAAATGTTGTAATAGATCAGTGTCTTCACAGTGTCGGTGCCCATTAACTCTCATACTCTAGTGCATGAAACTGAGTAAATAATAGTGAAATATAAAATATTAACAAGATGTACCATTTAGCTGAGTGGACAAAATGTCTGTTATTTTCTTTCCCAGTTTTGGAAGCCTTGCAAATAGATCAGGATCAATAAACTTTAAAAGAATTTCAGAAATAAAATAATCTCAGCACCTAGAGCAATATTATCCTAGCTTTTTTGTGTCTTTCTTTGGAGATAAAATGGAGATGTAAAATGATTTGGAATTTAATTAAATATTTGTCACTCAGAATCCACACTTTTCCAAATGCCTGTAAAACAGGATGGAAAATGCTTGTATATAAAGCATTTTAAAAAATTACCGCTTCACAATGATTCTATTAAGACTAGTAACATAAGAATTTCATTTTGCATAAAGGTTTTCCTTATGATAACAATCCTGTGTTCATTATCAATATGACAAGTTCTGATTTGCTGCTTTCTAGGTCAAGAACACTAATGTTTATGTTTTAAAAAAATTAAATGAGTAAAAACAATGTGAAATCAGAATCACAATGAAATTTGACATATTTAAAACTGACAAGTACTTTCTAATAAATGGTTTAGTATACTGGTTTGAAAATATCTGTTTGCAATTCTTATTAATTCTGTGTGGTAGAAAGCATGAAATGCAATGTTGTCTGACTATAAATGCGATGAACTCTGTTCAAAGGCACTTTTGGGTAATTAAACTTTGTGTTGATTTGTTTTTATTTTTTTCAAATTATGGTCAAAGAATAAAACAATACAATATTTCTTCCAGCAAAACAAAAAACAACATCTCCCTTCTCCCATGGCAGGCATTTGATGGCAATAACAGTTTACATGCTGTGTGACTGTGCTAAACAAAACAAGAAACACCCTTTTCAACATATTTTCAGGCCATATCTGACACCAGTGCGAGATGAAGAAGCAGAGTCTCAGAGAAAAGCAAGGTCTCGCCAGGCACGCCAGACAAGGCGATCAACACAGGTATGTAAGAACCCAGGAAGGTCAGCAAAGAGTAGACTGAAAACACTGACCTACTGTACATGTTCAGCACTTATGAATGAATTCATCTGATATCTTTTTGGAGATTGGCAGGAGCACGTTTATTGAGCTTAGAAAGTTAGAAGAGAAATTCCTCCTTGAAACTTTCAAAAGCCGAGTTACTGTAACTTGCAACATACATTGCAACAAGCAGTTTACTGATGAAGAGAAATCCAAATTTAGTCAATGTTAAAAATGAGTTAAACATCTGTTTTACTGTCATTTTATTCCAGTTGTATACAGTACCACCCTTTAAAACATAGTTTTAAAACCTTGTTTAAATCATTGATATCTTATCATTAAGTATTAATTTGGCTTGTGGTTTGGATTCTTTCATAAATCTTTAACATTTTAAATGTAGCATACTGTATAGTATATACACATATATTGTGCAGAAATAATCATTGCCAACAGATTTTGTGTCCAAAACGTAGTACAAATTAACAGTGTTAGCATAAAACACAAACAATTCTCTTGCAGCTTAATCAGGTTATTTGAGGTATTAAAACAGAGCATGCTAGGTTCACAGATACCAATAAAGCAAATAAATCATCACTTCAATCTTTAAAAAGTGTCGAACTTCTCCACTCAAGCTCAATGAGGTAATCTAGTAATTAACTTTGTTTCATAACTAACAGAAATTATAAGGTTAACGGGAATCACATGATCAAAAACAAATGCAGAAAACCAGATACAGTATCAGCAAGTTAGCGGAATAGTACAAAGCCTTTATTTATGTCAGTTAAAGTTAAGTATTCAACCCTCCGTCAATTTTCAATCTGCTTGTCCAGGTGAGGGCTGTGCCTTATCCAGAGATTCTTCTCTTAAACATTCAAACTGAGCCTTTAATCTGCCGGTTTGATCCCACCACACATTGCTTCAGGGTGTGACTCTTGCTGAGCTGAAGGAAGCACAGAAGATGTTCGGCCTGTGTAGATCGGAAAGACAGATCGAAGAGGCGGATGGGGACAGCCTGGAAAAGGAGGAGGCTGATACCAGACGGGATCCAAAAGCATCACCCTCACAGTCAAAGGAGCCAGAGGAACCAAGCTGGAGATGGACAGTGGGACCAGAGGTCAGTGAAACTTTTAGGAAAACAGTTTTTAATGAATTTCAATCTTCTTCTTCCATTTTATTTTTTGCAAAGACCCCTTGTCATTCCAGGACTTAGTTAAGAATAATCCACATTTCAAGTATGTACAAAATCTGAATATAGGTCATATGCCATAAAGCCTTAAGGTTATGAATTCATAATACCATGATTATCAAATGTGCAGCATATAATGAGCCAAAGAGTAGCCCAATTGATAAAGTTAAGTCTGATAAAAGGCTTAAGTCTGTAACATTAGGTTAGCTGAGGTTTCACATATATGGAACTTCTGGGCTGTGAAGGTTATGCAAGGAGCTTTTTAGTATAACTTTTTGTGATAACATTATATATCTTTTTTATTTAGTGCAGTAGAAAAGTGAACAGGTTAAGAAAAGGTTACTAAATGTGTAATTTTCACTGTGACAAGTATTGGCACAAGATAGCCTCCACTGGTTTGGGATTGTGCCAGAGTTTACATTTCATATAGATGTCAAGGAACAGGTTAATTCCACACTGAAAAGTAAAAGGTAGTAAACCAATGTTTTATCTGCCTTCTTAAGGTGTGAGGGAGAAAGAGGAAGGCAGCAGTTATATAAAGCACAGGAGAACAAAGGACAGAGCAGATGAGAATGGGCAGTGGGCAGGTGAGAACAAGTGTCCAAACTAAGGAGCTCTGGGGGACAGTTGTGAAAACCTGAAATACGTAAATAAATGGATAGGTTTTAAGAGAAATTGTCTATTTTGACTAATTGAGAGAGGAAAGGTGTGATCCAAATTTAAGGGTAACCTTTGTTTATAATTTGTTTTTCCCTGGAGTGGGAGTCCTGAAATCACTGTAAAAAGATACAGTCTCTGCCTGTCAGATTCACAGATTCAGGGTCAGCAGTATGGCATGATATGTCACTTTAAGAAAAAACTTTCCAGTTGAAGCTGTATAATAAAGACATTATTTTTGATGATCCTGGGAATAGAAAGGGTTTTGCGGTGAAAAGGAAACACCAGTGGAATATGTTTCTGAGTGTGGGAATTTCTTGTTCCTGAACTAATGTTCTGAGTGTAGGCTATTCCCAGCCAATTAAAAAGAACAAATTTGTTTTTCAAAAGCACTTGATTTTGGAGGTCTGTATCATCAATGCATAACCAGTAAAGTCTGGCTTGAGAACTTGAAAACGTTTAGTATATTTGGAAGCGAAGGAGCTGTAAAGGAGATACCTGTGTGAATTGGTGGATCAAGTTTGTTAAGTCTGTGTTTTCATGCTGTGAAACCGTCATCAATAGCAATGACGGTACACAGGGATCTGATTCTCATGGTGTAAAATAAAATGTTCTGGGCACTAAAACTGAAAACTGTCAAAAAGCTGAAGAGATTGATTGGGGTTCTTAATATACAAAGGAATCACTACAATCAATTGGTCTCATTAGGATGTCAAGGATAGTTGAGGTGTGAGTAATTGGTCATCCTTGGAGTGTCAGGTTTGTGGATGTGGAATAAAATCAAATTGAGATGCCTGAGGATGTTTAACTATAAAACAGTTGATATTTGGGGGTAATTCTTTATTACTAATCAGGAGTGAGATTGTGGATAAAACCTCTATTTGAAAGTCAGTGGTTGACTAATTTGGAAGAGGACAGTATGCAGAAGTTTTAATTTTCTAGTGGCTTTAGAAATACAGATCCATTTGTCACACTATATCAGTGCTTCCTTTGTTTGCTGCTTAAATGATAATATCTCATTTGTGCTGTGACTGGAGTGCCTGGCTTTCCCCTGGGGTGAGGTTATACCTAAGATTTCTGGGGATAGAAAATAGTTTTGTAGCTTGGTTATTGCATTGGTAGTCCACTGAAAAAGTCTGAAAAGGACTTCAACATCTTTGAGTTCAATTGGTAAATCTAGTCAATAACTATCTGTTCTCAGATTAGACTAGGGGGACTCATTAGAGAAATGTTCTTTGACACAAATCCTGTAGTAAAAATAGCTGAGGTCATGCAGCACCTGTGGGGCATCCAGTGTCTTGGTAGGCACTACAAAATTGACGTTTTCACTGAGAAGAGATCTCTCATTATATGAAAAGGAAAATAATGGTCTTTATTTCTATTTTCCAGCATGGAAATAAACCCTACTTGTTCCATCGATTTCCATAGCTCCCTACTCAAACCTTTTACAACTGATTTTATTGCCGAAGTAGGTCATAATCAGCACTCCCCATTGTCAACAATCTTTCTTTTTTCAGTTTGGGTACAACAGGTCCAAATTGGGGTCCCAGCCCGAGAGCCCCAGCAAACCCCCCTCTACCAGAGGCTGCTTTTACTTCCCTTCTTCCACTTCACCCAATCACATTTCTTCAAGGGGTCTGTGCCGGAACACAGAGAAAAATGGTGAGATTAATAACAGAAACACCATGCTAATTCAATCTGAGCAAATACTTGCAGGCTTGGGATTTGTAGAAAGAATAGAGTGAGGATCATAAGGAATCTTATATTAAAGGAACAAAATAATTATTGCTTAATATCCACAAATAATCTCAAATCAGTATGTATATAGAGGATGCTCTATTTCTTATCTGAGCCCATCAGATGTGTATCTGGTTTCCATATATAGTATGGCACCTTATATAGCAACTAGTTTTATATTGGACTTTAGTGGTAATTATTCTAATAGATAATTACCTAATAATTATTCTAATAGAGCTGATTTTTATATCTGTATATAAAATGTTATATGTCAGTTTGCAATTTAAAAAAACAGAATTTCAGATTAAACAGTGACATGGTGATTATCTCTGACAGTTCTTTGGTCCTGGGTTTGAGTCTGGGCTGGGGTGCCTTCTTTGTGTTATTTGCATATTCAATCAATGTGCATTTGGCATTGTTCTGTTCTGGGTCCTCGAATGTCTTCCTGCCTTCCAAGGCCATGCTGGGTAGATTAATTGATGTCTTTAAATTGTCTGTGTGTTTGTGTGTGTGATGTATGGGCACCCCCACCTTGTGCCCTGTGTCTGCTAGATTAGGCCCTGGATCACTGTAAACCTTATAGGGTGAGGTGGCTATGGATTCATATGGCTATGGATGAAGAGCATTAAAGGGCTGACTAGATATCACACAGCCAACAACAGTTAATGTTTGGATTATTGTTAGTTTCTAAAACATCTTTCAAACCTTCGGATAGATGTTTTTTTCTCAATCTTAAATAAGAAAAATAAATCCTATTCCAGTTCTTGATATGACTGGCTCCTGGAACCGATTCTACAAGAGGGCAGATCTGGAGCAGGATCATATATAATGATTTGTATTTCTGGAGGAAATGTAACTGAAGTAGATATACTATCCTCCAGTTCAGACAGATGGGATTTAAGGAAAAATATCCCCTTATCTGAGTCTCTGATGTGTCCAATTTTCTGGAGCTACTGTACACCAGTTACAGATATATACCAGCATACACTCTTGTTTAACAGATGACATCAGCTTCAATCCTCTCCTGCAACTGCTGAAGGCAAGACTGGATGGTTCAGATAGTGGTAAAAAGAGTTTCAACATAACCAAGCATATCAGTTTTAGGGAGTCCTGATTCAGCTTACAAAAAAAACCCTTAATGAATGAATCTGTGTGTTAAGAAGCAATGGTAACAATCCCTGATAGGCATTCACAGAACAGGGCAATTTCTGAAGGTGTGGGCTGTGCAGTAATGAGTTGCATCCCGTTTCCTACCCCTGTTTTTTATAACAGAAGTGGTCATGCTCAATGAGGCACTTCTTGGGGTTGGGATAGTCTACTGAAATGAAAAACTTCCCCAGACTGTAATTGAAAATTAAATTTCCAAAAGAAAGAAGGTGATGAGTTTGGGAATTACAGTGTGACAAAATCCTGCACACATTCCACTGTGCTTTCTACATCCCATTAGTGTCAGCATGCTACAGTACCTCAGTATTTTGTGGTGACCAAAAGTGGTCAGTCCTTTTCTTTTTGACCCCATCTGGGATCCTAGTGTCACGATTGTAGTCCCACCTCCTTAAGGGCGCTCCGGCTCTTCCTTGTTTGCCTCATTCCCCGCACCTGTCCCCTGTTCCCAGTCCACCTTAACAGCCAGGCGCTGACGATCATCCGGGCTCTGCATCTGATCTCCGTATCGTGCGAGTCCGGGACCTGGAAGTGCCTGGTCCTGTTAAGGTTTTATTCTCTGTTCCCTTTCTGCCAGTTCCGACCCGTTTCTAGTTTTTATCTTGTCTGTGTTTTGATGGACCCCCTGACTTTGGACTTTGCTCGTGTTTGGATTCCCCCTTTGGTTTTCTACTGGATTGTTTGCCCCGGACTCATTCCCCTGAACACCTGCACACCAAGGACATGCCCCCCCTGTTTTGATCCCCGTTTCCTGCATGGCTTTTTTCCTAGTGTTTCCTCACTATTCCGGATTGTGGCGTCCACATAGGGTCTGAAAAGAACTGTTTCGTTACACCTAGTTGTTATGCAGTACAATGGTCCACTGTTGTGGAAGACTGTATGATCCTCTTCATTCTGCTGAATTTTCCTTGTCTATATTGACACACATGCTCATCACACTCCCTATTTCTTCCCCACTACCTCTTCAGTCTCTTTCACCATTCATCACCAGACACTATATCACAGTATTCATATCAATTAACTGTGTCGGGTCTGCCCAATTCTCAGTCTTCACCTCAACTCAACTTTTCACTCACTCTTTAGCAAGCACTAGATCTTCATTGTTAAACTAATCGTCTTTGGCCATCTACAATCCTGATAGACTAGCAGTAAGGTGTGCTATTTCCATTTTCTCACTCTCAGAGACTGTCCATTTCTCTTCTGGTAGTAAGGCACAGGGAGTACTTGGACTCAACCTGTGACATCCAGACTCCACTCTCATCATGGGTAGAAGGTACTCTGCTTTCTTTCCAAACAATACCCCACTACTCCGGGTGCCACCACCTCCAGTCAGCCCTAGTTCAGAAAATCAGTCCTGTTCTTGAGTAGTATACTGTACAGTATACATTATCCCCATTCCAACTGGCAAACAAACTACCATGCCATGAAGACATGTCCAGCACCTGTTATGACCATGAGTACAACTTAAACTTTATTTTCTCAAGCCTCCGTAGGTGCCACAGGCCTGTAAGTCAGCCTAATACATTATTTGGAAAACCTTTCCTGTGAATCTCTGTCTTCTGCCTTCTAGGCTGGAGCCTACACACAAACTGACATCCTTTTCCTCACAACAGGTGTTAAATGCCTATTAAAATTAAGCATACAAGGTTTTAGAAGGATTTAGAAGCTGCCTTGTGTTAAGCAAGTATAATACAACCCTCACAGAAAGATAACACAAATTTAACATGCAGAATAACATGGAGACATGAGAGGACCAACACACCTGATTCTTTGGTCTTGTGCAGCAGGAAAGCCTATTGTAGATGTGTATATTTCATTTCTGCATGAAATATACAGTATATTATTTTTTGGGAATGGCTCTTTTAATTACAAGCATAATTTAACATACTGTACCTCTCACACTAAATCCCAAACACTTCCTCTCTTTCCTACAATAAAGTCAGCCATCACTAAGCACTAACTGAAGAAAAGGGACCAGTAGGTACAATGTCAACATTAAAATTAGACCAGTAAGCTTGTAGATCTGATCAATCTTCAATAGCATTCTTAATAACCATTACCTCTAGGTCATGAATGGAAAAATGAAGGGGAGAGAGAATTTGACACCGTGTCTGACTTCATCCTATCTCTCAGAGACAGAAGACAAGCTAGAGACCATGGCCGAGGGACAGACACCTCCTTCTGGACACATGAGGTAACAGACATATTTGACTTGAACATGTACTAAACCATTGTCTGCAAAATTGCACTTTTATAGTGAAATAGTGTTTAATAATGTTTTGTTCTGAAGAACTTGTAAAAAAGCGGTAGATGTCTCTTTTTTCAGGTTCTGGTGCTGGTTAGAGACATGCAGCAAATAAATTATTTTTCACAATTCCCTGTGGTTGTGGATCTCATAAGTAATAACAAAATTTGTTTTTAATTATTTTAGGATGGAACAGATGGAAGGAAAGATGTAAAAGATTTAGTAGTAGGTCCCAAACCTCAATTATTTGTTCACTATTTTAATGAATAAGTGAAAGTAGGCCATGTCCTTGCTTTTTTTCCATGACCTGGTTCTATTACAGTGAGTGTTCTATTACAGAAAATGTGCTCAGTACAAACTTCTGCTGTTTTCTGTCCTTTGATTAGGGTTTTTTTACATATTTAAATTTATTATTATGTTAATTGGATCAGATCAACACTTTTCCTAAGTGAATAATTAAGGAAATTCATAAAACCTACTAGGTTGTGATTTCTATGAAGTTTTCCATGACTATCTTAGATTGTTATTGAATTTGCTAACACTAGCAAAAATCTTTCAAACGATTTCTCAAAGGGGAAGTGCAAGAAGGAAAAATATTTGTGGCCATATTATTTGTATCTGTATTATCAGTAAAAAATGGAGCATTATTTAACTGATAATGTGTCTGGATGGAGACATGTTTTGGAATGCTTGTTTTCTTCTTTAAAAGTAAATGTAATGCAAGAAAACTACAGGATAAAAAATAGATCCTCTTGTAGTAAGTATTCCACAGAGAAAAAAAAAAATTAGCACAGAGAAAATAAAGTAAACCTCAAAATGTTGGATTTTTTTAATTTGGGTGATTTAGGTGAATGGTATTTATTGTCAGTACTGCTACCACTACTTTAAAAGAAATATCTTTCTCCAGACACTATACAGTACTTCAGAATATAGACATTCTGAGCTCAGACATGCTTTGCAAGAAAT